GATACTAGTCACGTGACCTCGCTGACGCAACAGTATGTAACCAGAACTATGGAAAAGTCTTTAATAATTGACATATTCATAATATTAATGCAGAGATAAAATGTTGATTCTTTAAAGACTTTTCTGTTTTCTTAGGGTGTGTTTTAAACTTGTAAGAAGAAGATCCAAAGAAACCCATTAAAGATGGTGAAAGTGAAAAAAGTACAAAGAGCTCTGTACATTGAGTCATTTTGATGCATTAAGTTGTGCATCTAATGAGCACAATCTGAACACTTTTTCCTGTGTAGTACTTCCCAGGAAAAAATACTTTTTTAGAAAATTTTCCCTTTTTTTAAATCTTTTAGAATGAGTTATGAATACTATTATTAGTAATTACTATCACAAACAGCCCCCTGTAAGGCAGCATTTCTACTAGTGAATATAATTTTACATTCAACCTTTGTAGAAAGTCTTCATTTTTATATATGCATTTGATGTTTGTTTGGTTTGATTTGAAGTTTTATGCACTCGCTACAGTTCGAAGTCTCTGTAAATGAATATGAACATCTTTTAATGCTTATATTGTAAAAAAATGGTGTGAAAGTGTTTGACTACTATTATTCTAATTTTTTTTATTTAGATTTTATTTCCTATTCAGAATTTTATACATACAGTGAAAACAAAGTGTGACAAAGAAGTGTATGCTTTATTTGTTAAACAGATGTTTGTCGATGAGATTTAGTTGAAGACAAAAGCAGAAGACTTTCAAAACATTGTCCTCTATACTTGTGTTTCTACAACAGGCAGTTGCCATCCATTCAACTAAATTTCGTCATGAATACTCTGCCTAAACAATCTATCAAAGAATAAATCTTTGTCATTTTAGGAAGTTTCACTTGGAAACTGGCAATTGGTGTGTAAAGCTGGGGAGGAAGAATGCATTCACAAATTTCATAGAAATGTTGTAATTAAACCAGATGCAACTATCACAGTGAGTTTCTTTCATTCATACATTACTGTATTTAGTTATTTAATTAGCTGACTAATTTTAGAAATCCAATACCTTATACTTATTTACCATCCTGATGGTACAAGTGTAATGAAAGTTTCATAAATGCTGACCTAAAGATAATACATCTGAGAAAGATGTTGTGTAAATTGTTAGTTTAAAACAATAACAAGAGAAATGTTTCTCTTGTTATCTCATTATCTTATGCTCATTATCTATTAGAGCTTAGATATCGACACACCATGAGCAAAAAATGACACAAAATTATTGGTAATGTAGCTTCAACTTCTTATACTTTCTATGTTTTACAAAAAAAAGTCATTAGCTCATCTCAGTGTCATAGAAATAGCCTGTTATGCTTGTAGGTACTCTGTTGAGGTTTGAAACAGCTGTTGACTGCAAACCCCAAGAGTAATTTAACTTTTTTACCAATAAATATAGAAACTATATGTATGTACATGTAGGTGTGTGTGTGTGTTTATATCTGTATTATTTTGTGCATTTACCATTAGTTAAGTGGTTCAGTGCCAAAAACAAATTGTTTGGTTGTAAAAATAAACTAAGAGAAAGCTTGTTCCTTCAAGGTGATTGTATTGTTTTGTGATCAATCCAAAGTAAATATGTTAAAATCATAAAAATTGAAGCATGTATATTTTCTTCTTCACTTCTTAACCAACTATGTTAAAAACTGAACTTAGTATTTCTTGTTCATATTGTAACTAAGCTTTACATCATTCAACTCATGCTGGGCTACATTGGCTTTTTTCTTTAAATTGAATTCAACATTTAGGCACTCATTTCAGGTACTTTCGGTAAGGTTGTATCAATCATATGTCAATTGTTGCCTGTATCATAACATATCTCATTAGTAGTTAGTTATGTTTTTATTGTTACAAAATACTATTTATCATTTAGTTCATATTTTGACTGTTAATCTGCTGCCATCTTTATGGGAGTCCTAAAAAGGATTATGGTGGTACAAACTAGGGTTTGACTCTGGTTACTCTTGTTAGAAAGGCATGTATGATATCCAATTGTCTGAACTAACTAGTAATTTGAGTTAGATGATCATATAAACTACTAACTGTGACAGAGACGCACATTTCAACTTTATAGACTTGGACAAATATAATTAATTTTTCAAAAATTATACTCTGTTTTAGAAACATTAACTTTCACAATGTTCTACATGAAAATAAATTAAAATAGTTCAACAAAAATTTATTTTACCTTAACTATAAACTATGAAATGGTTTATCTATATAAAAAGAAGTATTGACATAATTAAAGACAGGTAACCCTCACTAAAAGGATATTTGGAAAATATTTATCTTCAATAATTATATAACAGTAGCAACAATAATATTCTGATTTCCAAAGTTATACTGTGGTTTAATATTAGCTTTCATTTGCATGTTTTTCTGACAACTTACTGGTAATGGCTGTCTGTTTCTTGCAATATTGTAAGTTGGGCTAATTATATTTAAATTTTACTTTTTTCTTAATTTTTAGTGTCAAGAGCATAACTTGTTACTTTTATGATACTTAATATTCCATCTTCTGTGTTTAATCTTTGTAGATTTGGAGTGCAGACAGTGGAGTTGCACACAATCCTTCAGAAGGTGACATTGTTATGAGAAACCAAAAATGGGTAACAGCTGAGATAAAGACAACAAAAATTCTGAATGCAGATGGTGAAGTAAGTGAAAACCTGATTTATATTATTGCCTTGACATGTTTTATGCTTTTAATTTCCAATATTAATGAAGATGCTATTCCAATATTAATGAAGATGCTATAGAAGATTCATTTATCAAGTTTCCGGAATTAAATTGTTTTGTGTCAATATGAAACTTGCAAATGCATTTAACTTAAAATAAAGAGGGGAAAAGTGTTGCTATTTTATTGTTAAAACAAAATCAAAATTTGCTTTGTAAAAAGAAAACGAATGTTACTAGTTATTATATATCTACATTATTTATTAAATTTATATCACATAATTACTTTGGTTGAGAGCCTTAAAAGTATAATATATCAATAATTATACCGTATAAATATACTTGAATAAAATTCAGTAGAATGAACACATTACCTGCTTTGTTACTCTGTAGAGGAATACAGAAAAATTTTTGATTGACCTTTAAACTTTATCTTAAGTCATCCTTTATCTCAATTTTTTTTTTCATTACAGGAGATAGCAAACCGTGAAACCACCAAAAAGCTGCTCAGTTCTTTATCAGAGACACTTTCAGAAAGTGGAGACTATCCAGAAGTTGATATTCAAGTCAGTGTTACACCAACAAAGTTTTTAACATTTTTGTATCTTGTGAATATTTATACATATTAAAAAAAAATCAATTAACAATAAACATTTTTACTAAAGTAAGCAGCATTATTTGTAATTATTATGATTATATTTTAATAACTTTTTGGCACATAATGTAACATTTTGATTAGTATACGAATACATGTTTAAGATATAAAGAAAAAGCCTTCTTTAACATATAAATTTTCTTTATAGACCTGGTTTAGTATTATTCAGTGCTTTAAGTATTTTCCTATTTATCTTATGTTTTACACAAGATACCTTTGCTCCTTTTTAGTTAATGCTTAATTTAAGTAGCTGTTGTTAATAATAATTTATAGATTGCTGTATATAAACTTTCCCTATGGTTCAGCAGTAAGCTTCAAAGCTTAAGATGCTGAAATTGGGTTTCAATCTCTGTGGCAGATAGCCAATTATTAAACTTTGTGCCAAAACAAAACAAAAAGAGATTGCTATCTAAAGATAAACTAAATATTAACTCTCTCAATACGTGCTTGGTCAATTTGACCTCTTTTTACTCATTTAAAGTCTTTATAGATTTAATACTTCTAACTTTCAGTATAGTGTGTATATCTTCACAAAATTTGGTAGTCTTTCAGTTGACATTATAAGTCTTTCACATACAAAAAATCATATTTTTAGTGAAGTATTTTTAATAAACTAAAATAAAGATTTGTCCATGATTATATTGAGTATTTGTTTTGAATAGTTCATATACAAAGTGATTTTCATGTTAAGATCAAAAATACTTTTCCTCTTCTCAAAAAATCTCAAATTTTTTTGTGTAATCCATAAAACCTCCTAAATACATTTTTAAATGTTTGTGTTTAGTGACACTGTATATTTTATCCATTATTTTCTCTACCCCATCTCTATACAGGATTGGTCAATTTGACCGACCTTGTAACCTCCAAAAAAAAATTGAAATAAATCTAAATTACCCTTTTTTTCTTTTAGAATGACTTCAACTTGTAACATGAAACTACATTCATTTACCCTAAGTACCTTTAAGCTTGTAACAGTATAACTGTATTTATAACTAAATTTTATTGTTTTATTGTGCTTTTGATTGCCCTTTGAACTTTGTCTAACTACTAGCTGCACCATTATAAGTAATAAATCAGTTCAGGAATGTGCAGCTGACGTTACGCTGTCGAATTACATTACCATGAGCCACTACGAACTGTTCTTGTGAGTGCCTTGTGAAACATTTTTATTATATTCCAAAGAAAGTACCCGGCTTCACTCGGGTTATTAGGTTGTTTATTCTAGATGGCTATGTCAGTGTGTGTGTGTATTCTGAACCCATTTTAGCATAAAAGTATAACCTATATTCTCTTACTCCTTTACGGGGTGTGACCTATTTATAAAGGTAACCTTCCTTCTGATTTGTTCTCCAGTTTTAAACTTAAATAATAAAAATTAAATTTCTTTAATTAACAAAGAATCTAAATTAGAAAACAAATTTTTTTTTTTTAAT